AAAAAGAATCACTGAGATTTATGCCTGAAAATATTTAAAATGTAAAATTTTCATGTCTTTCATTATGGACGAGGACGGTTCACCAGCACCTGGCAAAGAAGAAAGTGGGTCTTTGGGATTTTGGGTGTTGGCCAAAGCTGCAAAAGACCCATTTTAAAACTGGATGATTGTAGGTCCAGATGTCATCTTCTCAACAGAACCTGGAGAGAGCATGGGCAATATACAAGGGGATGGTATGGCGACTGCGAGGGAACAGGACAGAGGCCCTGCTAAAAGAGCATCTCTTAGTAATTGAGTGGAACTACTGGCTAACTAGGTGGTTTGTTGACCCATTAACAGGCAGCCACACACAGAACCTGGAGAGAGCATGGGCCATATACAAGGGGATGGCGACTGCGAGGGAACAGGACAGAGGCCCTGCTAAAAGAGCCTCTCTTAGTAATTGAGTGGACCTACTGGCTAGCTAACCGCCACAAAGATGGTCCTTTTGGGAGAATAATTAAGGATATAAGGCATAGGTACAGCTTGTAAGAACACCCTGCTGCCTCCCTCTCTCCGACCCCCCACCTGCCTCATTCAGGCATTAGTTTTTAATGTTCTTGTTCAAATTAATAAATCTGCATGTTTAAAGCTCCTCTTCACTCACAAATATGTTTTTAATGGCTTTATAGGCTTTACATGAAGATTTTGTTCAAAATAAGATGCAAGGGACATGAGGAAGAGTTCTTTTTTCAGTGAAACTGTAAAATCCCTGTTGTGTTATTCCTTTGAAAGAATGTTGTGTTACATTTTTAAAATAAAATAAGGGCACTTTTTCAGATTTAGCATGAAGTCTTCATCTTTTTAAATTTGGAATGAATCATGTTGATAACAGATGCTTATGATGAGTTAAATTCCGTTTGGAAATGTTTCTCTAATGTTCAGTATCTGCGTGATTGCTTCAAATATTCAAGGGTCACAAACAGCAGTAGTACCTGGTTAGTTATGGTTAAAAATTATTTTTTAGCACTTGTATGCATTTATGAAGTGTTCATTAATAAATACACGTTTTAGACTTTACAGGGTCACAGAGAGCATTAACAAATGGTTAATAAAGGTTAAGTAATGGTTATTCACCACTGTGATACATTTATGAAGTGTTAGTTCATGCATATATGGTTCCCACTTTACAATAAGCATCACAAAGAGCATTAACAAATGGTTAATTAAGGTTAAGTAATGGTTACTCACTACTGTTATACATTTTTAAAGAGCATTAATA